GTAACAAGAGGCCACCACCATTTCTTTCCACGAATAGACACACTATAGTTATTTACTGCTTGGTCGAGTAATTCAACACCATCCATAAATGAATTATAATTCAATCAAACAAGTTTTTGAAAACTTCTTCTTGTTGAATTATAATTGCTAAATCCTAAAACCAAGGGTACACAAACATCATCGTCAACGCTCCAGTACATGGGTTCATGGGGTAATTTGTGAAAGCCCGAAAGCAGCAAAATTCCCAAAAATGGTTTTATTTCTGCATTCCTAACCACAAAACCATGGTTATTTTTTTGCAACGCATCTAGGTTTGATTTCTCAATGATCAATTTTGTAACCTTATCATCAAATAATCTTTCAAAGGTTTGAACTGGTCTATCGTTCTTTACATCTTTTATCGTTTCTGTAGTATCTTTTTGTAGCCCTTAGTTTTCCCATTCATACTGCATACATGCCTATTATTCATATTTGTAATTTTTTGTCCACTTACGCTCCTCTTTTTTGCTACTTTCCCTACTTTTGAAAACTTTACGTTTCTTGGGAAATATTCGAGGTAACGGCAGGTTGTAATCGGAGCTGTCCACAACCTCTTGACTTCTAATAACTACTTCTGATAAAGGAATTTCCTCGTCAGAAGAAAACTGCACCTCTATTTCAGCAGGACAGTTGGAAATATCCATATCGTTATCGTCAAATTGCTCCTCATCTGTTTGTGTGTCTAGCTCAGGCGAAATAATAACTATTTCTGCCTCATGTCTTTAAGAAGAAACTTCTTCCATTGCAGCTTCCAGTGTTTTGAAACGTTTGCTGTAAAAACACTTTGAAGAGATTAGCCGAAAATCAGAATCCATGTTGCACCAAGTTCTGGAGAGATATTAGGAATTCAATTATACATATCTTCCCATTGTCCTCAAATGAGTACAGTGCCATTTTTTACTTTTTTTAAAGAAATAATGGAAATGTGTGTGTTTCTATATTATAATTATAATAACTTAAATACATATCTGAGATGCTAATTTGCCACCCCAAATAGAATATTTTAACAATCACGTTGTTAACAACAAATTGTTACTTGCGTCAAATGCGCTGTCTGCAAGAAAAACTTGAAATTACGAACTTCTTGAATATTACAGAATATGTACCACCTAAATACTCCTTCGCCGAAAAATTTCAATAGGTGTCCCCAAGGGAGAATAATTCTCGGTGTACTCAAATAAATAGTAGTTACCAAATCAGTGGGAAGTAATGGGTTAAGAAGCAAAAAGACAACGGCACGCGGTGTTCCCAAGCGGTCACCCATCCAAGTACTAACCGCGCCCGACGTTGCTTAACTTCGGTGATCG